ACCGAACCCCCCTTCCACCCCCTTGCCCTTGCCCTTGGCCTCCCCCCCTTGATTCAGCGCCTCCAGCAGATGCGACAGGTGAAAGACATGCCCACACGCAAACCCCACCAGCGTCTCAACCTCCCACTCGACAAACGCCTCCCCGCACCCAGGCGCAGTGGCCCGGCGCACACTTGCGCGCCTTCCTTGCTATGGCGCCGTCCAGGCCCGCCATGGGCGGGGGTCCCGTCGCCGTTGGTGGAGCGGGCGTGTCCGTTGTGGGCGTCGGTGGGTGCCTCGGCGGCATGTGATGGTGGTGGTGGGTGTTGTTGTTGCGCGTCTTTTTCTTGCGACGCCGCGTGGTGCTTGACCACGGGAACCTCGAAGCGCACGCCCCTCCGCTGACCCATCCGCAGGCAGCCCTGCGCGACGGCCACCTCGCTCCGCAGCACGCGGGCCACGCCCTCGCAGATGCTGAACTGGATTTCGTGCTCCTTCATGATGTGCTTGAGCCCCTCGCGGAGACCCTCGATCTCGAGCCCCTCGGGGATGCGGCGCACGAGCGTGATGGAGTTGATGGCGGTGCCGACCTCCTCGAGCAGCGCGCGGATAAAGCGCGGCTTGTCCATGCTGTAGGTCAGCAGGTCCTCCCAGAGGTCCGGGTCGTCCTGCTCCTTGGCGAAGGCGATGGCCCGGCTGACGTCGCCGAGCCGGTCGATGATGAGGTAGAGGGCGCGTTTGGTCTCGCCGGTTTTGGAGTACAGGTAGACGAGCTCGGGGACGTAGTTGTGCGTTTCGCATTCTTGCGCGGCCTGGAAAGACAAGTTAGGGTGGGAAGCTGTAGATTTGGAAAGGAAGGTGTACCTTTTCGAATGCGTATGCGGTCGAGGTTTTTAGGAAGTCCATTAGCAGGGATTGGTCGTGCGCGGCAAAAAGGTGCACGGCAAGGTCGGCGAACTGGTCAACTAGAGACTTGCTGTCGGTTACGAGACGCGCGCGAGACTCGTCCGAGTGCTCGTGGATGCCCTCTCCCCGCCACAGGCCGCGGAGGTAGAAAAAGGTGTACAGGTCCAACTTTTTCGCCAGCAATTGGTTGATGACCACCTCGGGCTTCACTAGGCCATGCTGTGCCTCGTCGACCAGTAGGGTGACCGCCTCAGCTGTGGCATCCTCGAGTTCGGCCTGACTCATTTTGCTAGCTTGACCTTGGGGCACACGCAGACCGATGAAGCTCGGTATGTCATCGGCCACGGCATCAGCAAGGTGGCCCTCCTTGATCAGCCGCATGGCTGAGTCTGCATCCTGGAGTTTGATGTGGCATCTGAGAGCCTCCCGGTTTCTGCCGTTTGCCTCGTGTAGCTTGGCGAGACTCTCCATGACTATCCGCCAGTCACGCCCGACCTCACCGTCCTCAACGCTGTCTTCCCGCACGTCCCGGTACTTGAGTTGATCCTCCAGCGCGGTCGTGATGGTACCCACATCGTACAAGTCTGGAGCCCATCGATCCAACAGCCCGCGGAACTTGGGTTTGTTTGCTTGGAGGTAGTGTCCTAGCATGACCTCGTACAAAGTCCCCGGCATGGGCGGTCGCGTCCGCTCCGCTGGTATGTAGTTCACAATATCATCAAACTTGTTCGCGCCAGCAAACGTCCACACCCACTTCTCCCATCGATCAGGCGTGCCGAGGACCTTTCCACATATTTGCCCTGCCCTTGACCAGTCTCCAGTCTCAATGACGTCTTGTATCCACAGCTCCCCGATCCGCCGTTTCTCCTTTTCGGCCGACGAGTAGAAGGACCGCATGCCTTCAGCAACCGATGCCGTGTCGTCATAAAAGTCATCTGTGCTTTGCGTATTCTGGGGTGTACTTGGAGAAAGGTCGGAAACCCCCGACATGACTTCAGGATGCCGGTCCACCAGCTCCCAAGCCTGTTGGTACTGGTTGTGGTCCAAAAGCCACGCCAAGTGGTCACTCAAATCTCGCCGCGTAGCAAGAATACAGTCATACGGACTATGGATGAAAATCTTGACGCCAGGCTTGATGAGATGTGGGTGCACTGAGGTGCGGCCGGTCCGGGTCCCCGAGGCAGGCACATTAATTCCGGAGGCTCCGTCGCTATTCTTGCTCATGACACTGGCCGCAGAGCTAAAGAGCGCCATGGGATTCAGCGCAGCGTTCAACACGTCCGTCCCAAGTCCTGCGAGCGTCTCCAAAGCACCCCGGGACGACACGGCTGCCGCCGCGTTCTGCGCGGGAAGGATACCGAGGTGGTAGTCGTTGGATGATAGCCTCTCAAAACGGCTGATGGTGAGCCCGTCCTTGTCTACTTCCGCTTGTGACGAGAGATCGATAAGACGTAACTCTGGGGGCTGGTTGTTTTGCCTCCGCGGGATGCCGCCCGATGGCCTACTTTCCGTAGAAGTTTCCGATAACGAGCGGCCATGGCCCTGCGATTGCTGGCCGCCTTCCTCTTCCCCCTCTTGGTCCGGTAAACAGTAAGCAAGAACTAACAACAAGTTCTGGGTATATAACGAAATTCCAGAAATAATGCAATCCATGCGAAGTCTATAAAGTCAGATGGCACCCGGATGCTGGGGTATGGGAACCTTACATCTTTACAATCTCCGCTCGCCCGGCGGACCTCTCTCCGGCATTCCTCCCCGTACCGATGGCACCAGGATGGACATGAATGATCCAAATGGTGCCACCCCACCCCACGAGCAACCGCTCGATCTTCTTGATGTTCTTGAGTTGCTGCTGCTTTAGGCTCTCGGCTGCCGGTGACAACGCAACCTCGTTGTGGTCCGGACTGGTCTCGTCAGGCTCGACGGCCTGCTCGTCAACCCACTCAACCCTGCCCTTCCAGACGCTGGCCATTGTCTCCCACTCTTCCGTCTGGGGCCGATCGATATGTCCAATACGTTTCCAGGCATCCTCGGCGTCGGCGTGGTCCAGGTGGAGCTTCGTGCGCATAATCTTAATACCATGCTCATTCAACCAAACCACGTATCGCCCAGACAATGACCATTTGATTGTGTTGATGGTGCCTTCACCCGAATGTAGCACTGTGTCCTTGCCGCTGCCGGCCCCGACCATGCCGCCGAGCCAGCCAGCGGCCTGCGCGGTCGCGCCCGCTGTCATAGCTGTTGATCTTCCCGTCGGTGCGCCGACAGTCAGAATGAGCTGGCCGGAAAGCCCACCAGACAAGTACGTCCTATCGCTCTTGTACTCGGGCGAAAGCGCGACTGCCTGCACAGGGCGGGCAAAGTTCCGCAGCTGCACATCCTTAGGGTCCACCAAGGACTGTACGCAGATGTTGCCATCCAGAGACGATGTTGCAATGTAAATGTTGTTGGATGGAGTATTTAGCACCGTTGGAGACTCCTTCATCCTCCTTGCGGCGGCGGCTGGGGAGGCATGACTCTCGTTCGTTGCGGTCGCTGGTCGTAGAGGACTGTTTGGGACAGACCTAAGTGCGCTGTCCATCTTGATACTCGGGAGCGGAGGAGGGAATGGGGAGATCGAAACGGCGGTAACCGAGGCGGAGTGGGCGTGGTAAACCCGCAGAGACTGAAACGCCGGCAATTGAACTACATGCTGTGATGGAGAGAGAAGTCAGCAAGACATGCGACACAAAAAGAGGCTCGCAAGACTGACGATGTTTCCGTTATGAGTCCCGACGATCTATTCACAGAATCAGCGGCTGCGGCGGTCAATACTAAGAGGGGGCTGGGGAATCCGAACCATCTTGTCTCCGGCCACAAGAAATGCGCTTGTAGCATCGCCGTTTCGATAAACTGGCCCAAGGTGTTGTGTAAGGCGCGCATACTTGAGCTTCGGCTCATCATCGTCTTCCTCATCCTCGTCGTCCTCATCGTCATTGTCGTCGCCATCGTTGTCGCCCTCCTCCTCGTCGCTTTCATCTTCATCCCCGCTAGACTGTGCTCCAGATGCCCCGGTGCCATCTCCGGTCTCCGCGCTGGCACCAGACGAAGCTCGGACACGGGCGGAACCCTCTGTTCCTACGGCGCCGGTGCCATGATCGGGTATGGATTCGTGACTCGACTTTGGTTCTATCGTCTTATCGTGGGTATCATTGTCGCCGGGCTGTGGCGAGCTTTCGGTCATGTTGATTCGGGCAATGGAGGTATCTTCATGGCGTTTTAGCGTCGCGGTCGAGCGAAGACGGTGTGTGAAGGCAGGGGTTGAAGAGTGAGTTGACTGTTGTGTTGTTGCGACCTCGGGAGCTTCCACCTCATTCCAGGGTTGGGCGTGAGGCTAAGCGCTACGTCAGAGCTCAGACGACCCCAAAAGCTGCCGAGCACCCAACTGCTGCCCCAACTGCTGCAGGGGCCCGATGAGCTCTGGCCAATTGGAACTTGCCCCTCATTCAGTGGGGCATCAGCCTTGCCAGGCCGTCGCGCCCTGAACGCGCCTGCCACCGTCAAGGTGCACACTGAAAGGGGACTCGAAGCTCGAATGAAAGAATTACTGCAGGTAATCGGACGGGATTTATTGACAATTCTTTTTGGTAACTACCTATCTAAACAAACACCGCGACCCTCGAGGACTCGACCGGCATGGAATCGCCCGATTATCTCCCAACACCAAGTTCCCGGCCTTTGGTGTAGCTTGAAGAAGCAATAATTAATTGCAGCCGCATTCGTCAACTGCCTTGATCATGGCCACAGTCACATCGCTCGGGGTGCACGAACCCATTGGGCTACGGCATGCCGTCAACGAGAAGATTCTACCACCAGACCCGCCCCCTTCCTCTTATTCTTGGGAGGTTATCACCAGTAAAGAAGACGGCCGAGAATACGAAGACGAACTCTTCACCACCGAGAACTGCGTGATCTGGTCCCGCGGGGGCATCTTTCGAAAGAGCTTCAGTTTCGATCCGGAGAAGGAACCAGTAACGCAAGCCCTCCTTGCCCCCCTCCCTCCTTCTTCTCACAGCCCGCGGGTCACCTCCAAGACCGAACATTCCATGCGGAACCGTCTCGACAAACGTCCTCTTTCTCGAGCCCTCGTCATTTTCCTCAGATCGCAAGCCCATATATACTTCCTCTCCGGTAACCAGCCATGTAGTCCACATGCCTTTTGAGGTTGAATCAGCCTGTGCTGGCCCCCGGGGCGTCATCATACAACGCAAACTACGAGTCGATGGCACATCAGTCTCTCTGAAGCTGCCAAAAGTACCCCCGGCCTCCTTCGTGTCTTCCCAACCACTCGGCCCCCGCCATTCTCATGGCCACAGCCTCACAGAGTTCTCAACCGAGAGGCTTGAGTAACCCCCAAGTCCTACCCTTACGACTGAGCTTAACACTAGAAAATATGTGGCAACAACCCATGGAGGCCAGCGAAAGCCATTGGCCGCGCTTGGTGTGCTTGAACGACCCTTTGCTCGAGATTGGCCTTGTGGTAACGCACCCTGAAGCACCACCGACAGGAAAGGGCCGGAAAAGCCCACCAGCCCCCGTGTTTCTCGCTCGCTCCGAAGAGATCCTTCACATCCAGGCAGTCCAAATCCCCCGTGCCTCTGCAACCGGTTCTTGTGAACTCATCATTGTAGTCACAGTCAACCGGGAGGTCAACATGTACACAATATGGCGTTTGACCTACCCTGAATACGAAGATTCTGTTCTAGATCCACAGCAAAAGAAAAAACCCAAACCATCGCGGCGACGGAGTTCGATGGCACCAGGACTAGCAAGTGGCGCGTGCGACACCCATCCACCCATCGACGAGAGAAAGCTTTGGTGCACCACTCCCCGGCAAGAAAACAAGAAAAAGTGTCAAGACGGAAGGCAAGGAAAAGACCCTTGAGAACGCTTTGAGCTCTCTGGTGGACGCGGAGAAGGGCAATGATGCCACCCGCAGGCAGTCCCGGCGGGTGAGCTCTCTGCTGGCCCGCGCTGATTTGTCTGCTTCACAGGACAGAGCAACCTTTGCCGAGCAGCCATTGCTTGGTAACCACGGAGGCAGGCGGGCTGAGTCGCACGGTAGCCAGCGGCTCCGGCTGAGCAGCGGCTACGGCGCACCAAGCTTTGGCGCAACCTTCAACTACAACCGTATCAACCAGCTGCCCGAGGCCCCAGTCGACAACCTGCTTGAAGAGCTACGTGCTGGAGGTGATTTCGAAGGGTTCCACAACATGGGACTTGATGATCATGACTTTGACGGGCTTGTACGCGAGATGCTGCTCACCAAGATCCAGAGTGTCGGCATGGATAACGCAAACGTGCGATACTCACTATCTGGGAAACCGGCCAGAACGCAGGCCAAGGTGTTCATTCTTGCAGGGCCCCCAACCGCGACGGACGAGCATGGTCGATCACAGCTGATGATCGCTATTCAAGATCCAGTCGACAAAAGACTCCAGCTCCTTACCCTCCACGTTCAGCATTTAGAGAGCCAAACTCCCAAGAAAAATAAAGCAAAGCAATCCCCAGATCCTGGCGACTTCGATATCATCCCTGGCGAACCCAGGAGGGTCCAGAGCGTAGTCGACTCCTGCAAGATCTCAGATGGAATCGAGTCCATCATGATCCTGTCGGAAGATAGGCGTGGCGGCAGAGAACTCAGCTTGCAGTCACCATGGAGCAAAGTTACAACAGCTACGCTACCGCCGCTTCTAGTTAGCAACATTAGCAGCCTCCAGTTTTCTGGCAGCTACAGAGTTGGTGGAGTACCCCAAGAGCAACGCTCCTCTCACATTAACCTTACGGGAACTCAAATCGACACGATTTGTCACCCCAACTCCCAGGGTGTTGTTGACCTTCGGGACAAACACGGGAAATACCATCGGATAAAAATTCAGCTACAGCCTTCTTCACCCCAGGTACGCATGGTTCTGGATGTCTGCCGCAGCGTTCTTCACCCTTCATACGCAGATAGGATCGTTTCTGGGTGGTGGCATGTCATGCAATGGCTCCGGGATGCGAAACGTCGAGGACTCGAGCATGCAATCGCCGACGTGGAGTGGTCGGCCGCTGTGATTCTCATCTTGTCGAGTTTCTTAGCGCTGGGTCATAACAGTGAAACCTCGCTACGGACGCTTGCCAGTGAAACGGTGAAGCCGGCCGCGAGGAACAAATGGGAGGCAATGCAGTTGCGTGAGACGCCAAACTCATCGGCCTGCCCCCAGTGGATGCGGACCAAGGCGTGGCAATGGGCCCTCGACGACCCGCCGGAGACGCCTAGTCCCGCTGGTACAAGATCATGGCCATCAAGTAGCTTTGTTGCATTTCACGTAACCCTTGCTAAGAGATGGATGGCCTCGCCAGGCGGGCTATCAGCCTTCGGTTTCGAGGGATATCTTCCTACAGCCCTGAATAGGACTGGCGAACCCCGTAACATGGCGGCTTGGAGTATGCTACTTGCTCTGCACCTCCTCGTCGAAGAGCAAAAGCTCAACATTGCCACCTCGGAGCATTCATCACCTGGCCAAGCCGATACCAAGGCACTCCTGTACCAGCTAGCCAGATGGCTCGGGTGGCACCGCTACGCGGCTGTCTACGCGTTGGGCGCTCAGGCGGAGCCAGATTCCGCGGATGGCCTTGGTACGTTCTCCCCGGGCCAATTCATGCAACCGAAACACTAACTTCGTTTAAGTCCCATGCGTTGTCGCCGATTTGACTGAGCCCCCGTTCGATTACTGCATCTTGACCTGGATCCAGGGACACCTCGCAACAGACGGCGGTACGGAGTACCCCACGTTATCGGACTTGTATGCAAATGCCACTCGGGACACTTTAGGCAGGAAGTTGAGACAACAACTGTGGGAGGACCTCACACCCCGTACGCTGATGTTTGAGAAACTTTTCGGGCGTCTCGGTTCGACGACCCACCGCATCGAAGCGGTTGTGGCCATGCATGAGTGTGGCTTCACCCCTCAAATCCTCGAGACATTACCAGAGGGGATTCTCACCGCCTTGCAAGATGTCATATCCATTTGCCAGCCAAACCCTCCCCCTTCATGGCCTAAGGACCTCCTTGCGCTCGTCGGGAGGACAGACGTGAGCGGCGTGTTACAGCCAGCCAAGACATGGCGACCCCTTGGCTTCGACCTCAATGTGAGCGCAGGAAAGATTTCATGTATGAACATCTGCTAACTCCCGCCCAGTCACCTTCCCATGAAGCAAAGCGGGACTTCCGCGAGTTATGTCAGAATCTCGACGGGTCCAACGACCATGTCGAGGATGCCGGCGCGGCTGAGCGCCAGGCTGTTGTGCGTTCCTTGTTCAGAGAGGATAGGAGACTGAACGAGGCACAGGGCATGCTATCGACCAGTAAGCATCGTGTTGTACGGTTGGACCAGAAGACCGAATGGACCGAGGCCGAATACTTGGAGAAACAGAAGGAACTGGTTACGACTATAGCCACGAGTACTCTGGCCATCGCAGCCGGACGGGGTCTTCTGCACTTCTCCCTTCGGTACCCGCTCCTCACGCAAAAGTACCAAATTTCGGCGTTCAACCTAAACTGCCTTGTCAAACCCGCCAACAACACGGTGAGCGTCGACAAGAGCATGTTCCCCGAAGAGAAGATTAGCTGGGCCTTCTTTCACCAGGGAGTCTCCGGTGGTCTAGCCATATCACCACAGGCCAAGGGTATTGACACATCTTGGATCTTATACAATAAACCGGGGCAGGACCTTAGCAACCGTCACGCAGGTTTCTTGCTCGCGCTCGGGCTGAACGGTCATCTGAAGTCGGTTGCTAGATGGGTTGCGTTTAAGTACCTCACCCCCAAGCACACCATGACCACCATCGGCCTTCTTCTAGGCCTAGCAGCGTCGTACATCGGGACCATGGACGCGCTTATGACCCGCCTCCTGTCTGTTCACATCACGCGCATGCTGCCCCGTGGGGCGGCCGATCTCAACCTCTCGACGGCCACCCAAACCACGGGCGTCATGGGCATCGGGCTGGTTTACTGCAACAGCCAACACCGGCGCATGAGCGAGATCATGCTATCCGAGATTGAGCACGTCGGTACTGTGGAGGAGGAGGAGGAGGATGGGTCAATCCGCGATGAAAGCTACCGGCTCGCGGCTGGATTTGCGCTTGGCTTCATCAACCTCGGCAAGGGCGGCGACCTTAAGGGCCTGAGGGATATGCAGCTCACGGAAAAGCTGCTTACCGTGGCGACGGCGACCAAGAGGATGGAACTTGTCCACGTCCTCGACTGGTCAGCTGCTGGTGCCGTGGTCGCCATTGCGCTCATTTACATGAAGTCGGAGGACCAGATCGTGGCGCGCAAAATCGACGTCCCTGACGCCCTCTTGCAATTTGACTACGTCCGACCGGATATCCTTCTCTTGCGGACAGTTGCGAAGAACCTGATTCTCTGGAATGAGATAGATCCCACATTTGAGTGGATCCAAGATAGCCTGCCCCTCGAGTACAGGCCGAGGTATCAACTGACGGCGGTGACCGAGCTGCGAAGTCGGGACCTACCTTTCTTCTCGATTCTTGCCGGCCTTTGCTTTTCGCTGGGCTTGCGCTTCGCGGGATCGGCCAACGTCAGGGTCCGAGACCTGCTCGTGCATTATCTCGACCAGTTCATCCGCATCGGACAGATCCCCGTCAGCAACTACGACAACGAGCTCGCGCGAAACAACGCCCGCATGTGCATGGACTCGTTGGCGCTATCTTGCGCCATGGTGATGGCCGGGACAGGGGACATCATCGTCCTCCGCCGCCTCCGCGCACTCCACGGCCGCGACGACACCACCACCTCCTACGGCAGCCACCTCGCAGCCCACCTCGCCATCGGCGCCCTCTTCCTCGGCTCGGGAACCGCCACATTCGGCACCACCAACCTCGCCGTCGCCGCCCTCCTCGTCGCCTTCTACCCCCTCTTCCCCGCCAACGTCCAAGACAACCGCTCCCACCTCCAAGCCTTCCGCCACTTCTGGGTCCTGGCCACCGAGCCGCGCTGCCTCGTCACCAAGGACCTCGTCACCAACCAGCCTCTCAACCTCCCCATCCTCATCCGCCTGCACCCCAACTCCCCCTCCGCCGCCGCCGCTGCCTCCCAGACGCCCGCCAACGACCCCGCCGACCCGGACGCCATCACCCTGCGCCGCCAGACCCCCTGCCTGCTCCCGCCCCTCGACGACATCGCCCGCGTCGACACCGACGCCAAAGCCGCCGGCTACTGGGACCTGGCGATACCCTTCGCCGAGAACCCCGATCTCAAGGCCGCCTTCCGCCGCTGCCAGACTGTGTATCTGCGCCGCCGGACCGCGGACGAGGGCACCTTCCCCGCGACGCTGCGCGCGCTGGCGGGTGGGGCGGTGGGGGAGGAGGTGGCGGTGGGGGATGCTGCTGCTGCTGGGGAGCAGAAACTGCGCGAGCCGCCGCTGCGGTGGGTGTTTGGGCTGGGTGCGCTGGCGGACTTGTCACTTGCTGAAAGGGGCGTGGTGTTGGATTTGTTTGGGTCGGGTGGGGGTGTTGGGGAAGGGGAGGGGGCGAGCACGGCGGTCGATGCGAGGTTGGTGTTGAGGGCCGGGGTGGAGGGCGTTGGTGGGTGGTCGAGGGATCGCTTGTTGGGGTTGAGGCTGCTGTTTGAGTGGGCTGAGAGGAGGGGCGTGTTTGCCGAGGGGAAGAGCGCTGTTGCTGTTACTGGTGTTGCTGCTGCTGCCGCTGGTGGTGGTGGTGGTGGTGAGGGGGGGAAGGGGAGGAAGGAGAAGGGGAAGGGGAAGAAGACTGGGTCGGGGAGGGGGAAGAAAAAGGTTTCGATGGGGGCGGCGCTGCTGCAGGAGGATGTGTCCGTGGAGAAGAAGGGTGATGATGTTGGGCCGGTGGACGCGGCGTGGTGGTTGAGGGATAGCGCTATCGATGAGCTGAAAGGGGGGACTTGGCTTGCTGGGAGGGAGGGGTGACTGTCTAGGGACGGGGCCGGGGTAGGTTAGAGCATGTACCTATTTCGGCTGGTATCCTGGTGGGTTGGAGGTACTCTTATCGATGTTACCCAGCGTGTTGATCATCGCGTGACTGTTGGGTATGAGCTGCTGGTGATTGAAAAGGGTTTAGGTTCGGGTTCAACCGCGAAACCGCGTGTACCAGTTCCATTGCTTGCCCTCAGCTGAGAGTCGAGACTCATGCCGTGACCTCGTGTATACACCCATGTTCCTATTTTTTCAACGCGCCAAAAAGCCACTTACTAATCCTACATGTATAACTACCAAGCAATGAGGCATTATCCACAACATGTCTGGTCACCTTGACGCCTACTCGTTCATCCTAACCCACATAACACCCAGTCGCGCCGAAACAGACTCGGGCGAATCAATTAGGTACCACGAGCATGAAACTGGGGATTCTGCAGGTGCCATGTCATCCAGAGCCTTGCCGACAGCCTCAAGCCTCATTGCCACCCAAACCCGCAGGTGTACCAATCAATGCGGCTGCCATCCTCTAATTCCGATGAAGTGCTGTGTCACCCCGGCTTGTATATCCAATCAAGCGTTTTGACAATGCAATTAACGTTTCTACTAGCCATAAAACAACGCCATGTCTATAAACAGCAAAGCTCGCTTGTCAAGTTGTCCCACGTTTCCCCCGGGCGTGACTTTCCCAGCTGAACGAAGGTAAGCTGATAAAGAAAGCCCTCACACACTGACTTCCCTGAATCCCTGGATAGTATGCCACAGCGCGGTGCCCCAACAACATAACTACCTGCTTAAGGTATTGTTTCAACCTCGGCGAGCCCGGCAGACGCCTACTTACACGGTTACACCCACCTGTCCCCCCAAGATGGCTTCTAGGGCGGGGTTACTCAGTCGGCTCCTCTGCCTCCTACTTCTCTATCCCCAGGCACTTCTCGCCGTCGGGACCGGGACCGTCAGCAAATTCGGGGACGACTGGCCCCATGACTGCGTCCAGTACTGCCTCGGCAGATGGCCCAACGTTTACGACAATATGGGAAGCGCGCTACAGTGCGGCAAGCCCTTCTACAATGAATGTTACTGCGCCACGGCGGCAGCCTCCGCATCCCTGGCCACCTCCTTTCTAGCATCATGCGCCTCGACGTCGTGCGCAGGCGGCGATGTCACCCTGGACCTCTCAGCTATGCAGTCCATCTACGCGTCGTACTGCATGGAGAACGGCTTTACGCAGCCGGGAGCTACCGCTTGGTACAGCCCTGCCGCGGAAACGGGTGCCCCGGCGCCGGGCAACACTGGCGAGACCGACTCGGCTCCGCTCACCACGACACGGGTCTCGGTAGTCACGCAGATGACAGCGCCTGACTCCGGCGGCAGCTCCTCTACACAGTCGTGGGGTAAGTGTCTGCTCCCACTCGTGGCGGTGGTGGCTGCAATTCTCCTGCAGGTACTGTACTCCCCTGGGTGTTGCTCCGATCCCAGCTAGAGAAGCCAGGGCATCAATTTCTTTCTTAAGTTGAGTAGCCATTCTAACTCGGAGGGCACAACGCACTCTAGTGACCGTCGACGCGACCTCCACAGTCTGGGTCAACGCCGCGGGCTCCTCCGTACCCGCGCCATCCTCCGACAACAACCAGACCACTCTCAAGCTCGGCCTCGGCCTTGGTTTAGGACTCGGCATCCCCCTCGCGCTCGCAATAGCAGGCCTCACAGTATGGCTCTACATCCGCAACAGGCGACCGCCAAACCCCAACGACCAACCCCTCCCACCATCACTAGCCGCCGACATCGAACCAGCGGGCCCTTCCCCCTCCCCCCTCCCCCGCAAACCCGTCGCAGCAGCAGCGGCAGCGACCACAAACCCAGCCCCTCCACCCTTATCCAGCACGCCTGCCACTGCCACGCGGGAGCTCGAAGGCGGCCGGGGCATACACCGGGAGCTGGGCGGGACGGGGGTGCACCCGTTTCCGGACGTCGGCCCTAGCCCGCCTGTGCTGGTCCCGGGGCAGCACGAGCTGCACGGCGTGGGCAGGCAGCCGGAGCTGCCGGGCCTGTCGGGCAGCCCGCCGCCGCAGTATTATTATTATCAAGGGGCGGCGGGGCCTGGGATACAGGGAGGTCGGGAGCGGTGGGAGATGCCGTAGGGGGTGTGGGTGTGGAGTTGGGGGGTGGGAAGAAGGCAGTTGATTGTCGTTTAAGTCATTGTCGTTTAATTCATGGAGTTTTGATGGAATATAGAGATATTGGCGGGGTGTGTTATTTTGATTCATTAACTATATCGTGTACTATTGTAGCGCACATATCTCAGATGCTCAAGCTGGATTTCCCATTATCACTACTTAATGAAGTAAAAAATAACTGATGACGGCAAAGCAGCTATTATCGACGATAATGTTTCGGCAAGTCTTGAGTCGTATATTAGAGCGCGTATTGGAAGACAATGATAAAGAGAGACCAGGTCCAGGCCCTTTGATTTATTAGAACGGTGACGGTCACGCCTGTCACTTAATGAGAAGCACATTCAAGATACTTAAGCATGGGAAATAATCGATGAGCAAGATGCTATTGCAGACACTGAGCAAGTATAACACGCAGATCCCAAAAACGCAGGACATGGCGGGCGTGAATTTCTCGAATTGAACCATTAACCATAAACCTTTTCATGCGCCGCCGAGGTATATGTACATCGCTGCTCGTCTCTCGCTGTCGCGGCATAGTAATATGGCCGCCGCCATCGCACGATGTCTCCCGTCGCCAGCCCCCGGGCTCAAAGCTGCCTTTACCAAGCCACACCCACGATCCGTCGGGGAGTTCCAATCCCCAAGGCCAAGCCCTTGAAGGTCCTCCACGTGGCGGCGGACTCCCCGACACTTGCTCCGGTTCAGGGCAGCCCACCCGCTTGGGCGGACCGCCCGGGGAGGTCGCAGATCCCGATTTCGCAAGCTAGGGAACGCGCTGCCGTTTTTTCCCCTTGGTTTTTGATTGCTCTTCCTACTTCGCAATCGCCGCAGTCAGGACCTGGGTCCTGAAGAAACCGCCCTTCGTTTTCTCGATGACCTGTTGATATACGGAGCTTGGCGGGTGGTTCATGACGACTGTGCCCTCCTTATAGTCAATCTTTGCGTCAAGCCGGGTGTCGCGAATGAGGTTAACTATCCACTTCTCGGCGGCGTCCGCATTGAGGCCCAGCCGCGCGCTGAGATCCTTCAGCGAGATGCGGGCGTGGATCTTGCAGTAGCTCTCGAAGATCAGGTGCCTCGCCGAGTCGACGAAATCGTCGGCATGGGCGAGCAAGAAAAAGTCGCTGCGGAGGACCTCCTCGGCCAGCACGAGCTGCCGCTGGGCCTCCTCAAAGTCGAAGTCGATAGCCAGGGCGTGCACGAAGCGGGTGATGGGGTCCTGGTACTCGTACGCCTCCTGCTTCACAATGCGCACAACATCCTTCATCTGCTTTTGGTGGATGCCAGGATTCTTTGCGCGCCCACGGTTTGTGATGACAGCGACGGCGAGATACCGCAGAATCCAGGGACAGTTGGCCTGGATGGTGTTGATGTAGCCGGCGTTGAAGAACAACTCGAGGATCGGCTCGCGGGCCTTCTCGAAGTTAAAGAGAGGGAACAGGGCCCAGTGGGTGAGGGCGGTCCGGTGTTGCAGTTGAGCAAGCGGGTTCTGCGACAACTTGGTGTCGATGGTCTCGCGCACTTTTACGAGCTCCTCCATTGCCGACTCCCAGTTCATGGTGAGGATCTCACAGGCCAGCCGACCCCATGTCGCAAACGCTACCTTGTCGTTATCAGTCGAGAGAACGCGGAATCGATACAGCATCTCGGATGCGTCGCCGTAGTTGCCGCAGCTGTATTGGAGGTTGCCGAGATCAAAGAGGGCGTTGACCATATCCATCGTGACCTGTTCACCTCAAGCGTCAGCGTCCTGCCCCGCAAACATCAAAAACAGATAGCCCCACCTGATGTTCCCGCTTCAGAAACTCCAAGTTGGCAACCTTGTCGCTTCTAAGGTTGTTGACCACATCCTCCCGCTCCAATAGCTCGATAATCTTGCTGGTCTGCTGCTCTAAGTTTTGGAGCTGGCTGAACACCTTTTGTTTCTTGTCGGCAAACTCCGCGGGGGGCTCCTCGACGCCAGCGAGCTCGCAGTAGAGGTTGGCAACGTAATCGGTCATGTTGGAGTTCTTGAGTAGCGAGTATTTGGCCTGTGTGATCTCGCGCGCCTTGGCCTCATCTCTGACAACGCCGCTCTCCTCATCGACTAGTTGGCCGGCGCTGAACTCCAGAAGAGGGAAGATCATGTGACGATCGAGATTCTGGGCGAGCTTGAGCATCAGGTCGTAGTCGGACACGGCGGCATCGCCGTTGGCGTTTGGTGCGGAAGCCATGATTGCGCTATGGTAATGTGTGAATGTTCGGTAGTGGTCGTATCGAAGAAATCTATCTCAGATAACCGATTCAGGGCGGGGTTTTCTGGATTAATCGGGCACGGCCGAGCGAGAGTCCGATGTCGAGTTTGCAGGGGAATGAAGAGGCCCAAGAAGCAGCGCGCAAAACCGCCAATTTTCCGATTGAGGGCGTCTTTTGATCTTTGGTGGGGTCAAAATTTGGAAAGTACGAATCCAACCGTGGGCTGAAGCGGGCAGCCAGTGCGCGGTCCCAAGCTCCAGGCCCAGCCCACATTTGGCACGAACATACGACATGTGGGACCGGCGAATCATTCTGCCGCCGCCCGACAATTTTCGAGTGCTGGGATGCCGGATTAGGAAAGCGGTCCAGTTTGAATCGAGACTCTCGAGAAGAATCCTGAAGCCGCGCGACACCACAGCCGACTGATCAACCGCGCCAACACAGCACAAATCACAATGCTACGCCCAACAACCCTCCGTAGGGCATTCGCAGCCCCGCCACGACTGGCCCTCCCGAAAACCGCTCCCCAATCCATGACCTCCACCACCTGCAATTTTTCATCACTTTCTGATTCTGCACCGCCAGCGACGAAAACCCCCCCACCCCCAGCAACCCCTTCAACAACCCCCGCCACCAACTCTTGTCCCTACACCGTGCGCCGCACGCCATCCAACCAGCTCGCCGTGTACCACCTCGCCAAGCGCGGCGGCAACATGAAGCTGACGGCGATCAAGAAGGTGGAGGGGGACCGGGCACGGTTCCGAGCGGCGCTGGCACAGGAATTAGGGGGTGGAGGAGAAGACGGTGGTGGTGAATAACCTGACGGGGCACGTCATTGTGAAGGTGAGTGAGTGTAATCTTTATGGGGGTTGGCTGGGTGGTGGGATGTTATGGGAGTGGGAGGGAGGGGTGGATGGGAGGGTGGGGAGTCAGTAAGTGAGTGAATGGTTGCTGACGTGGTGGTGATGTGAGTAGGGCCATCAGAAGAATGCGGTGACGGGGTGGTTAGAAAAGCAGGGGTTTTGAAGACTCGGCTTTGAGTAGCGACGAGTTACAGACACTCCGTTGGAGGGGACACAATACGGATGTAGGATGGGTGAACGAGTCCATCTCGCCGCTTCGCAACGGACGATGCACTTCATGGCAGGGGCGGGGGACATGGTGTATAGGATAGGACCATTGGCCAATGTCGCGGCCGCAATTGGAATTGCGATGCTCGATGAGGCAAGCATACGTGGTGATAGGGATGTAGGACAAGATTGTGTTGGCTTGGCTTTCACCGACCAGAGACGGTCACCGACGTATTGTACAATTACAGCTGTATAAACTACTGTGTAAACCGCCACCAACCCGCTCGCTCAGGCATGGTGAAAAGCCCTTCGTTGAAATGTACACCCCATACCAACCCATCGATATACCATAAGTGCTATGAAACTACCGGAGCCGATAAACACCAGCCCATCGCGCGACCCGCGCCTGGTCTAGTATACTACTACGTCGCCGCCACCACGCTCCCATTCTATATCATCCAACTCGTCATTTTCCAACAACAGCACTCGTACAGCAGCGACCAGCCAGGCGGGAAAGTCTTACCACCCTTCTTCCAAGGACACGCTTACACCACCCTCTCGAAGAATCAAAGCCTGAAATTAGCCTCAATTGCACAAATACATGCTCGCTTGCCAAACGAACGCCAAACGCCAGCCCTTTAGTCTCGCACCCCATCACTCATGACCGTCGACGCAGGGTCTTATCCGCCATGCTAGTGTACTCGACCAGATCTGCTAGTACCCCTTCCTTTGCCCACTCTTGCGCCTGCATCTGCAGGGCGTCGAGGACGCTCTCCTTGGCGGGAAGTACCTCGGGTGGAATACCGCTTTCTCCGGTAGGGTCGCTGGGATCTAGCGCCTTCTCGGCAAGCCGCTTGAGGACGCTCACGGACAAACCGATGATGTAGACTAGGTCTGGATCCCGTTTCGGCTGTCCTCTTGCTGGGCCGCCGCCCGGTCGGACAGCTGTGGTCTCGTATTGGCCGCTTAGGTAGCGGGAGAGAAGGTAGAGGTTCTGGGCGAACCCAGTACCGGACGCGAGCCAGGCGCGCGTGACGCCACTCTCGAAGCCAGGGGCCAGTCCGGCCGTGATGTCAGCGGAAAGGAGACCCTGCATCAGCAACGGCTTGCGTGCCTCGACTAGGCGGGGGATGTGTACGGGGCGAGGCTCGCGTGAATAATCAGGGATTGGTGATATTGCCAGGCAGAAGGTGCGTGTGAGGAGTTCACAAGGTGGTGAGGTCGCCACGGCAGCCTCAGCAGCAAAGATGTTGCGGTAATATGTTCTGTTGGGCTCATCCCGAGCAAGAAGCTTGGCAAGAGCGTCGACCGCATGGGGAAGATATGGATGTTGAGATGGTTCGTAAGCGGGGAAGAAGAGCTTGTCACCAGATATGGTCGGGCCAGGCGTTGGGCCGAAGGCGAGGAGGAATTGGAGGAGGCAAAATGCTTGCTCGCCGCCCAGGTATTTCCACTGAGCTTGCCGTGTTCGACAGCAGGGTCACCAAATCCTTCATCAAATCCAGCGTGTTGACGTGTGTTCGGAGGAGCATCTCCCGCGTGCCCAGGTACCTGATCAAAACACAGACAAACTTAATGACCGTCTCGTCGGCAAGGGATGCGTGGTTCTCTTCGCGCCAGGAAAAGTTGCGGAGGATCGTCGTAATGCAGATGAGGCGATCGGCCGCTCGGTCGAGATCGTAGGCTTCGGACCCGAAACCATTCACGGTACGCATGGCGTACCGCTCGGCACGACAGGCGCGCACGACCTCCTCGTACGACGAGATCGTAATCTCGTTTGACGCTTCCTCTGAGTTCTCCGCCAAGAGGTCGATCTGATCCTCGGCGCATTCAATCAGAGCGTCGACCAACTCATCACACTGCCTGAGATCGATCTGCGGGATAGGTATGGGCTGGGTCGGGCTGATGAAGTGGTAATCGTTGGACGATAATGACGCGAGCGCGTGTCGAGGGCAAGCCGGACCTCGCCATGGATGCCGCTTTGGATGCTCTTTGTGAGTGCGTGAATGTCGACGTTTCCGAAGTCGATGGGCAGGGGGACGTCGATTTTCGTTCTTTGCAGTTCCTCGCCAATCTTTTTCAAAGCGCCCACGTCAAGGCCGCCGTACGTTGTGATCTCACGCGAACAAGGCACGTACTCATCTGGGTTTGTTGAGAACGGCGCTGGAAATTTCAACGAGCTCCCAGCGTCGTCTGCCGCTCCAACATTCTCCGGGTGGGCAGAGCCAGGGAGCGATACGGGTCCCGTTTTGCTTTGGGCAGGGGACGGCAGGGGAAACTCATCGGCCGTCGGCGTGGCTTGCACACTCCTTGACAGGCTGTTACGAGTGTGGGCTTGACTGGATAGCACCGGCTGCTGGCCGTGGGGCGGTTGCCCACCAGGAAAACCATTGATGCCTTGTTGTTGCAGTTGCAGTTGTTGTGGTGTTTGTGGTTGTTGCTGCTGCCCGGGGGGCTTGACGGGGGACTGCATCTGACCTTGCAATTGCGCTTGCTGACCGGGTTGCATCATGTGAGGTGGCTGTTGCTGCATTTGTTTCGTTGGTGTTCCCTGTTGCATTCCCTGGGCATTGGCTACCCCCCCGGGCTGTTGCATGCGCATCTTCTGTTGCGTCGACCACAGCTCCTCAAACTTGAGCAAGTTCCGCTCGTAGACGCCTTTGATCTGTGGCGTTGCTGAAGGCAATTGATGAGGTTGGAAGCCCATGATTTGGGAAACTTGTACCCAGCCGTTTGATTGCGTTGCGTTTCGATAACCTCCCAACTTGTTGTACACGATTCTGGAACAAGTTGTAAAGAGGTACAGGGCGGCCATCAACAACCCGGATGCTGGTCGAATGGAAGGGATTTCGAACTCATGAACGCCATCAGATGTTTCATAAACTGTTCTGGGGGAGGAAGCCGCGCCATGGCCTGCTGGGGGCCTCCCTGCTGCGGCCTCATGCCGCCAGGCGGCATCTGGCCGTTGGGGCCGCCCTGCCTAGCTGCCATCATGTTCCGAGCCTGCGCTTGAGCCTGCGCTTGAGCTTGCGCTTGTGACGGAGTCTGGGCCTGAGCATGGTTCTGCGCTTGGTTGGAGCCTTGCTGTGGTTGCATCATATTTTGGGCGTTCATCTGCTGCATTTGCATATTGTTGCGCTGCTGCTGCATTTGCATCTGGTAGATCAGCTTCTGCTGTTCCATGGCGTTCCGAGCTTGGCCCATCTGTTGCGGAAACATCATGTTTGGCATCTGGCCTCCCATTTGTCCGTGCATCTGACCGGCCATTTGACCTTGCATCATCTGTCCCGGCATCTGTCCCGGCATCTGGCCTGCCAATTGACCCATTTGCTGCATTTGTTGCATCTGCGGGGGTAGTTGTCCCATCTGCATTTGTCCCATTTGTTGCGGCATCATCTGCCCGGCCATTGAGGTTGGGCGAGGGAGACGGTCTGGCGGGTGATTGAGCGGCGCTAAATTATGGATTGAAATTGTGTGGAAAAGCACTCTGTGCATAAACGACTGAGGTGTGCCACCGTATTCTGTCGGTATGGGGGGACGCCTGGGAGAACTGTTGCGCGGCAGGCGAGAAGAGGTGTGGCGAGGTAGAGGCGACCCGTTGAGGAACACTCCCGGGACGCATCTGGTTGGCCATGATGGGCGACGGCATTGCATTCGTGGAGCCATTCGGTTGTAGATGCGGATATGGCGACGGTTGGCCGGATTGTTGCGGCATCCCTGGTTGTTGAAAGCCTGCGAATGCGGACTGCTGAGGCGTTTCGGCGCGCGATGCTGGGAGCATACCAGGCGCCGGGCGCGGCGACTGGCCCATATTATCATCCCTTGGCCTGGGGCGCTTCGACGGGACGACCGAGTTGGTTTGATACATCGGGTTTGTGAACGAGGACGACGAACTGCGCATTTGGCCATTGGGCATGACCATTTGCTGTGGGTTTGCGAACTGCGTATTAAATTGGGCGGAATTGCCCATGAACGCGGAAGGCATCCATCATGGACCCGGCGCCTGCAGAGGGGTCGTTGATATGAGGGAAGCCGTTGCCATTGTGGTTCGGGACAGCGGCCTCGTTGATCCAGGAGCTCATGTCGATCGGGGGCGAGGGTGGCAGCGGCAATGGTCGCGCCCATCAGGTGAATTCCCTTGCAGCGCCGTTAGCGACCACGAGACTCGTGCATAACAAATATCCGTTCACTAAACCGAGAGATAAAATGGGAGATGTGTAGAGGCGCCGGCGGGCGGCTTGTCGCGATGGAAGCAGTCGCGTCGCGGGTGTGTCGGGGAAGGCAAGGGCAGTTGGATTTACGGGGTCAGATGCAGGTTTTTGGGCTCTAGGGGCGCTTCGCCTGCGATGATGCGGTCGAGTGGTGGGATCCACCTCTAAGAGCGGAGCCAGTAACAACCAAGGAGCCGCCGCCCGCCCAAAAAAAGGGCCCGGCGCAAACAATGCCCACAGGAAGGAAAACGGGGCAAGACCCAGGTGCAGTGAATCGTGTGCATCGCGACGCCCGGCACCGGCACCGACCCGGAGACGAGGGCAGCAACGGCCCAGGCACTGGCCGGCCGGTCACCGGGGACGGCGGAGTGGAGGCGATCAGGCTCGGGGTATTAGACATACAATAAAAAAAAGGGCCAGGCGAACGGCCGGCGAGCGACGGGGATGCGAGGCCGCGTGGAGCGCGCCGCGAGAAAATTTCGCAGGCAGGTTCCCGGCGTCGCTAACCTCCAACCAACGATCAGTACTCGCGCAGCCCCGATGGCATCGAGCTGAGTAGCCCAAGCCCAGCGGAAATCACGAGACCGAATATGTAGGGGAACCTCAGCGGCAGGCCGGGGTGGATAAAGGTGGGAAACTGGAGGAACGACGGGCAGGTCTTACCTCTCTGTACCGATTGCGTCGGGTCGGGGCGGGCGCGTGTTGCTTGTCGGATTCCACTGGGGGCGTTGTGCTGCGACGAGCGCCGAGTGATCTGGTCCTTTCAGCCGGACCAAACCATGTACCCAAATAAAGACTAGCGCAGTGGGTCCCAAAACAAAGACCTAGCCAATGGGGAGCGTGCTACGGCGCAACCTCTGCGATCCTCTGTTTCTGATCGCTCTGTCGAAAAAGCAGGCTTCAGCGGACTTCCAGCCGACCTCGCCATGAGACTGAAAGCTCCGCCTGACCTGAAAGATGCGTCGATAAGGCGACACCCAGGCGGAAGTCAGGTTTCGGTCAGTGAAAAGACCATTTTCATGGTATCCAAAACCCAAGAATGAGCCTTTCGGCTTGGGTTGGATGACAATGAGGGAAAGCAGCATGGAGGTCGCGGACCCTGTGTCCCCGGCCCGCTGCCTGCCAGGCTCCCCCAATCGCCCCGAGCCAGTCGATCTCATCTTGGCCATCACCCGATCGTTGGGTCGTGAAGATAGGAAGCCAGCAAGCAGCCGACTCAATCTCCGGGGAGGCCTTTGCAATGCTGGATGGAATGCTGCGTTTTGATTCCGCGGCCTGACCGCTGGATAGGCTTCCGGCCGTGCCCCACCTACCATGACACCAGGCATCGTGTCCCTCCCACACACGCAATGGTGGTGGCACTGATGAGTCCTGAGCCTGCGATGTTTGACCAGGCGACTGCCTCTCAAACAGATGCTCGTTCAAAACCGTCGAATTTCCATGGGAACACTCCGGCGTCCTTGGAAGGTCTGGACCGGGTAGGTTTTGTGAGTCTGGAGTCCCCGGGCTGTCCCACATGGCTTGCCGAGCGAGGTGGGGACCCCGGCACCATCCACAAGCATGAGCCATGAGCCAGCGGGCCGGCCGCCGCCAATAACCCAAATGCCGTTGCTGGCGAGAGGGAGCGCCAGATTCGTCGCAGGATTGCGTTCATTTTCGACCTGTTTGTTCTTGCTCATTCAAGGCGTCAAGTGTATGTATTTTGTTGTGAAAGGCTTTCCAAACGCTCTTGTCGGGTCGGTTCAAGCCCCGTCGCCATTGGGACGAGCACCGTTGCGACGATCCGGCGACAAGTGACTTGTTCAGCGATAGCGACCATCGCTAGAATCGGCCGACAGGAGCCACAACAATGATTATTGAGAGAAAATAGGGTATATATGGGAAGAAGCGACAGTGAATGAAGGTTAAGAGGACGAAAATGGATGGGAATCGAGGGGGAGGTGGGCAGTTGGACCCTTTTAAATGTCTCCCGGGTTCAGGAGCAAAGTCACTTTTACACCAGGCACTAAAAATTCTCCGGCCAGCGCATTTGCCAGGCATTCGTCCGGCCACCACACAGCAAAC